GCTGCAGGTTGGACAGGATGAATGTCTGCTTCATATCTTAGAGCCTGGCCTACGATGCATGTATTGCCCAGCATGACATCTCTCCTCAGAACTGCTATTTCCAAGACATGGTTGCCTCACAAAAAGCAGCTTGGCAAAAAAGCCTACTTCACACCCACCCAGACACACAGATTGCTCAGCACACCCCTTAAGAGGCAGAAGAATTGACCTTTAAGTAGTGAATGGGCTGGGGAAAAACGTTGCGAGGCAACCCAACCACCTCTCTACTTCTTAAACACTGAAATAATACATGCCAGCTGTGCTGTATTTGCAGACTTCAAAGTGCCAAAGAACAGAAATACAAAACTGTCATTAGGGCTTTTGGGGAAACAGTTCAGCCACTGCTTAAACTTGAGCATCCCAGCAAGAGCCTTGCGCAGTGGGTGTTAATCTGAAAATTCGATGGTGCTGATGGCTGGAGAGAATCAGTTACCCTTCACCCCAAATTACCTCTCCATGTAGAGCCACCGCCCCTCCATACCACATTCTCACATGGCTTTCTCCTTATGTGATCAATCATCCCTTATCAGTGCTAAGAGGGGGGTGTCTCAGGGGAGGTCTCCTGTTTTAACACTGAATTTATAGTTTGATTAACATGTTATCAAATTTCACACTGGAAACGAGATGCAGCTTTCTGAGAACATGAATTCTGAATTGCTTTTTCAAGTTCAACTTTGAAGCAGAGACTTGTCAAGACTAGGGGTCTTTAAAAATCAAGATTGGAAGCACTTAAAAAAACCCCAAACCATCACAACTACACTAGTTCACCTAGGATCTTGTGTGATTGCTGTGTCAATTTTAGGGCAAAGTGCTGCAACTTGCAAGTCTGAAGACACCAGATTTTCTAATGTATACAAAAGCTCCTTAAGATTAGCAGAGCTCTACATAAAACCACAGCACACAAGTCAATCACAGGATCAATGCTAAAACCAGCAATAACCCTCTACTCTCCTTTGGTTTGCTCTTACAATCAATTCAACGTGAGAAACCAGGTATGTAAGTGAAGAAAATTATTTAACCTTGGGTTTATATTTTTGCTATTTCGGTTTTCATTTCTCAGCTGATCTCTTTCAACTTTTTTGTTATGCAATGTTTGCACTTCCATCTCTTTCTAGGACATTTTCTGGAATGAGCTTTTGTCTTTGCCCAGGGCTTGGACAATGCCTTTCCAAGAGAAAGCACGTGCATCTCACGTGATTAAGTGGAGGGATTCCTGAAAAGAAGAGGTTAAGAGACGCCAGGTTCTTTACCATGTGTCCTGGAGGTACAAGAGCAACACATTTTCCAACCATTTTCATGGCCCCAAGCCAACACCTGACAAGGCTAGGCTTGCTCAGCACACCAAGCCAGAGATAACTTGCTCCTTTGAGTCCTCTAGCTCCAGAGATCTCAGCTGGGATGGTGTTCAAAGCAGCTGCAGAACCATCAGGTCAAATAAACTACATGCAGAAAAGGCTGCCAGGAGGGTCACAGTACCCCAAGAAAACTCCCATCCCAGCGGTCCTGGCTGGTCCTCACTTGTACTCCTCCTGGTACCACCTGTGCTGTTTGGCAGGCAGCGTGGCCCAGGAGCCTTGGAAAGCCTGGAAAGTCCAGAGCTTTGCGGAACTTCAGCTGTTTGAAAGACAGTACAAACAGAGCACCTGCCAGCTTTTTGAAGAATTCAGTACAAAGGCAAACAAGGAATGGAAGCTTTGTATACTGCAATAACCTTAATATGTCACAGAGTTTCTCTGGTCTGCAACTCCCAAGTTCAGCTCTGAAGATATGATATGCTGATTTCCTCCCCTAATATTTCAGCACTGGCCCCTTCTTTCCTATTGCTGACACTTGTCTCATTTTAATACCTTATCACCACCCTCTATCTATAATCTTTAGAGCACAAGGAGGAATAACGCATCTTGCACGTCAAAGGTTAAGCAACAAGAGCTATTGCAAAACAGCACAGCAAACTACACGGGCAGAATGCACCAACACGTACAGTGGGAGATATTTGCACAGGAAGGAGCTGGACACCAAGAAGGCTGTAGCTCATCCTTCCAGCTTTCTGCTGTGGCACACAGGTTGTGGTGTTGCACTGACTCTCCTCCCACTCATGCGTGGGTTTGGCCCCATGATGTTTCATACCTCCCGTTACCACACTTCCAAGGTATTTTAATGTCTGGAACATCTCCATTTTAGATGCGAGACATCCTTCTGCTCTACTGCCTGGCCACTTCCCTCTCAACCCTTCGGACTGTTTCTATCAAGGAGCTAATTCTAACTGACTGTACAACTATAGCGAGTAATATTAACAGCAACAACTAATTTTAACTATAACAACTAATTCTTTAACTATATAGCTTCCCTTACCATTGACAGAAACAATAAAGAATCAAAACTGCTTTACACTTCCCTCTATTTATTGCTTGCTTTCTCCAAGACAGCTCTTAAGACTATCTCAAGACCAGCAACATCTAATGCTATGGAATAGCTGGATAAGAAGAAAAGCCACCCAGATAACAGAAGAGTTCTGTTGCCTCACTGGGTACTCGCTCATGCAGTAACACCCACACAGCAATTCCCAGCTTGGGTCTAAGTCAGGAGGGGGATTTTCCCCCACCTTCTCATGTCATCACCAGGTATTTTATTCTGAAATGCTTGTCCTCCTTGCTTCACTCAAATATTGATCCTTGCAGGAGAAATTAAAACACCAGATGCATAAGAGAATAAACCTTTGCCAAAACAAACCACAACAACTAGCCTTGCTTGTAGGTGTACTTTATCTACAATAGACATTTTAAGGTCACAGCCTTTTGAAATCCCATCATTTTTACCCTCCCAAAAGAGATGAGAGACTATTAGGACTTCACAGGATGCCTTTATCCTTATTTCCAGGCTGAAAATGCAATCTTATTTGTATTACTATACCTAGGAAAGAAAGGTAGCATGTACCTCTGCAGGAAATAGTATTAATTAAAAACCTGGCTAGTCAGGGAATCTCCATTTTGACAAACAAAATTACATCAGTTTATATAAAGGATTTAACTTACTGTGTCAAAGTGAGTCTGAGGTGACTGGGGAGGATCTAGGGCACTTGAATATGCTACTGCCTTGGCAGGCCCATGGGACAGATATAAAAGTCTGAGAGATGATTTTTTTGTTGTGGCTTAACCCCAGTAGGCAGCTAATCTCCACACAGTCACTCACTCACTGCCCCCCAGTAGGATGGGGGAAGGAATCAGAAGGGTAACAGTGAGAAAACTTGTGGGTTGAGATAAAGACAGCTTATAATTAAAAAAGAAGAAAACAACAACAAAGAGGAAAAAACACACCAAAACCAAGAAAAACAAGTGATGAAAAATAAAACAATTGCTCACCACCAACTGACTGATGCCCAGCCAGTCCCTAAGCAAAGGCAGCATCAGCCAACCTCCACTCCCGCAGTTTTACTGCTGAGTTTGATGTCATACAGTGTGGAATATTCCTTTGATCTGTTGGGGTCGTCCTTTCCGCCTCGTGCACCCGCAGTCTACTTGCTGGCAGGGCAGTGTGAGAAATAGAAAAGCCCTTGATGCCATACAAGCACTGTTCAGCAATGACTAAAACATCCCTGTGTTATCAACACTATTTTCATCACAAATCCAAAACATAGTCCCATACAAGCTCTTATGAAGGAAATTAACTCCTAGCCAAAACAAGTACATTTTTACATAGCAAGAGGGAGAGAACAAGGTATGTCCTTGATTTCTATCAATCTTCTGCTTGACAGAAAAGTCCCAACATTAACATTGCTTTAAGAGAGACAGCCCATAGGCTCCAGCACAGCAACTGTCACTGCTGTGGGTCAATTCCTTGTTTTTAGGGACTTGTACAATCCTGACTCTGCTCTGACTTCCACACTCTTGCCAATATCCACACTAATGCAGATATGAGCTCACTACAGCTCCCTGGTATAGCAAAGATGCTTTACTATATAAACACGACTTGAGTGTCTCTCTGGGCCTGGAGCATTTAAATTCAGACAAAGGAGAGACATCCACTTCTTTCTCTCCTCTGTCAGCTGTCCTTCCTATGTAGAGAGGAGCAGGCTAGATATCTACTTAATTCCTTTCTGGAAACTCCAGTTACAGAAAGTGATAGAGAGCTCTGACTTTAGAGCTAAGTCCTTTCCCCATCCTCTCACACCTTCATACAGGAAGCATTCAGATTCACTTTTTTTAAGGTACTTCTGCTCTCTGCTGACTATGTAGAGAGCTCAAGCTCCTATGTAGAAGGTGGTATCTCTGCCCAAGTAGCTAATGAGGAGAAATGAGAGCTGAGATACGGTAGAAAAATGACAGGTTGAAGCACAGCAATAATCCCAACTAAAAATATATGGTTGGAGTCTATTGGTTCTTTCTAAAAGAAGGAGAAAAACTGTGTGAGAGAGGAGCAAACAGGGGTGGGAATGCAAATCATTGCAAGTGCGGCAAAGCCCACAGTAGCTGGAAGGATTTCTGTATCATTTCCTGCCACGTGCTGCACAAAGCAAGACAAACCCCAGGATGCAAGATGAAAAAAAGACTATTGCGTGATTTTCCACATCAGAAGCAACTGGAGGGATGTCAGGGAGATATTATGGAATTAAGATAAACCACTGGGGATGCGTCAATCAGATGGGCTACCAACCGTAGCACGTAGCAGTCCCAGTGTGGGAGTGGTGCCCTTCAGCAGAAGGGCAGGGTACCCTCTGTGAGGGTGGCAACAGCTTCCGCTGTCCCGACTGAGCCTGAGTCATACCCCTGTAATGGGACTTTGCCAAGAGACCAAACACCTCTGCATCAGTGGGCAGCACCTGGGCTCTGGCAGACAGGCAAAAGAGTCCTGACCCAACACCCTTGTGGGGGCCCACTGGCAGTTCATGAATTTTAGATATCCATTACATGGGGGAGAAAAACAACTCAGTGCTTGTTTGTATGAGATGGGGTAAGAAGCTTGCCTGGCCTGTGTCTGTGAAACGGGGGTGCTGCTCACTCACTCTGCAACAGGTCACACGTGCCTCAGCGTTCGGCAGCTCCTCCAGCTTGGTCGAATGCGCTATCGATTAGGGGGTCCTATAAAGAAATGAGATTTCCTGTTCTGTCATGTAAAGAAGATACTGGATCCAAACAAGAAAAATCTGCTAAAGAAATTCAGCATGGGAAGAATTTTCACTATGCTGCTACTATAACAACCCTCGAATTTTGCCTTAAAAGGTAAACTAAGTTCTCTCTAACAACTGCCAGTCTCAGGACCAGAGGTGGAAGTTCTCAGATCTAAGCCTGGAATCTGAGTCTGGATTAAATCCAGATGTCAGGATCTCATCCACTCCCTTGGAAAATTTAGATCTCAATATAAATGGTGGCTTGTGCGTTGGGGAGGGGGAATTGTTTTTCTGGCTTGACCTCTCGTGACACTGACTGGGTGGGAAAAAATTAGGAGTATGTGCAGCTCTGACTTCAGAAGTGGGCAAAAGGGATTAAATGTTGCTAATGGTACGGTGATGTACTTTTATTTGGACAAGCTGAGTGCAGAGGGGCTTTGACTCTTGCTTTTCTGCTGAAATATCTAAATGCTCTCTTAAAAGCATAACATTAATTAAAATTCCATGGAAGGAGCTAACTGCTGACAGATGTGAGGCTGAATGAAGGCTACAAACCTGTGAATCAAGTTCTTTTTCCAGGAATATTGGGCAAAACAGGCTTGAGACAAGGAGAATGTGAGGGAAGTATTGAAGGTAACTTACACCTGAGCCTATATGGTAAACCTGTAACCTGGAAAGAGACCATCTTGAGCTGCAACTCTTCTCAGACATCTGCAGAAATCACCTTTACCTTGTGACAGGGGATTTTTTTTTCCCATTTCTATTTCTATATGGGACGCACTTTCTATGGCTTGTCATCCACTCCCAAACTGCTGGAATTTAACTCCCACTCCCCTCCCCCCCCCAGCTCTTGCAACTTATTTAGTAAAGAAATGGACAAATCATTAGAATGGAATGGGCTTTCGAAAATCAGCAGAGGCTCTCAGGGTAGCTGAGTCTCCTTTTCCATCCCCCTACCAATGCATCACATTGGGCCTTTCAGACAGAGTGAGCTTCCCCTGCTGAATCCATCTGGTACCTGGTGTCCAGGTACCAGCTCCAAAGACTGCTCCAAAGCACAGTTACAGCTGAGAGCTACCCACTTTCTGACTGAACCTCTGTCAAAGACAGATGAATAAATCTGTTCTCACACCAATGCTATGCCCTCAGCTTAAACCATTTTCCTTCTTTATTACATGCTGCTCTGCCCTTTACATATTCACAGGCAGTCATTGCTTCTCCCCTGCCCGCCGTACCTGCCGTCTCTCTCCAGCCAGGCTGTGTGAGCCTGCTTTCTCTCTCAGGACGGGCTCCCTGTTGCCCCGTTGGCTGCTAAGGTACTTATCGCAGTCTGAAGTTCTCCTGGAGCGTGGCAAAGAGCATTTGCGTGACACTTCATGCTAGTTTCTCCTGAGCCCTGTAGGATGACGTTGATACACCACCACAATTAGTACCTTTAAATACCATTTAATTAATCCACCAAAGCCCTAATAAATTTTAATTAATGGCAGCTTTATTAGTATTTACTTCACCTTCAACATGTAAGCTCTAGCAATATTTCCAAAGAGAGGAAACTGGCAGAGCAGTTGACAACACACCCTTGTTCCCTGACTTTTCCCTGCTCTGTTGGTCCCAGAGCTCACGGCCATCTCTGTGCACTGACAAGGACACCTCTCCAAGGTGAGGGTCAAGTTAATGTCATTCCATTGATATTTAGCTCTGCGTAATCCTTGTCATGTACAAGGTTAAACAAACTCACCAATATCAAGCTCTCAAGAAGCGTTATTGCAGTGTCTGATTAATAGCACAGATTGGAGGGGAGTCTGACAGGAAAGCCAAGAGTTCTGCTCCACTTGGAGATCTCAGTATCGCAGCCAAGGTTGCTGTGTCTCTGCTGCCAACCCTGAGTGATGTTTGTGTAAAAAACAGATGCTCCTCAGGCTTCAGGTTTCACGTGCACTTTTGAATACAAAAGCACATTTCTAAATTCCAGCAACAGAGCAGACTATCGTACTTCATCCCACAACCTTGCAACATGGTAAAATGCTGCTGTTAAGATTATCAGGATAAATAAGGATTATCAGATTTTTGTGGGATTGAACCTGCTGTGGCAGGTGTCCATGCGGAAGAGCTCTGCAGCCTGTTGCAGTACTCTGCCAGCATATTTGTACAACACCTTTCACTGGTACCTCTTACAACAAAACATGCATTCCCTCTGTCCCTCTTAAGTACCACAGTAAATTAATAAGAAAGAATAGAAGAAGAAAAAATACTATCAACATAATATAAATCAAGCACAAGGGACTTGACTTCTGTTGTTAAAACTGAAATTAATCCAAGCAGCACTGGAATGATCCCTCAGGTTCAGACACATTAACTCTGTGACCTAAGGACACTTGTCAGGTATCTACATGGTAGAATGTGGTGATGTTTCCTCATTTTTAAAGTAACTGATGCGATAAATGCTTCAGGGTAGGGATTCAGGGGAATAAGGATAGCAGTAATCTGAAACACAGATCAAGTATCTTTAAACTTCAAGTGTCATTCTATTTTGCAAAATGTAAATATTTGAGGCATGTAACGCTAACTGAAAGCCGGTAGTGAAAAAAGAGTACTTTTCATGAGCAAACTAATTATTTGAACCACTGTCCTTGTGTTACTAAATGACCAAGACTCTTGCTGTTACAACTGCTGTACAGGCTTGGGTCAAATACCATAGCCCTAATCATTTATTTACAGAAAAAATTAAAACTAGCAGATGCCTAGTTTAACAATATCCACTGATGAAAGGCTGTTTCTTACTGTTAACTTCTGCATTACATTGCTGGAATAATGAATTGAATTGTTTAAGATCTATGCATCAAGACTATTAAACAATGTTGTCTTAAGTTCTGAATAAGCAAAAAGTGAACTGTGTTTTAAAAAACATCTAGCCCTACTAAAACACAAATCCCATGCCTCTGCCTTGTAAAGCCCAAATTTTTTCAGGGCTCCCTGAGTAGTACGTGAGGGCAGAACCCTCTCCCCTTTTCTACCTCAGAGCTTAGTACCGACAGCGAGTCTGATGTCTGACTATGGTTTAAGGTTGCTTTCCTCTTGATCTACTTACTCAGATCACAAAGTTCACCTGCCGCAGCCAGCATTCTCAAAGTGAGTCAGTGATGAAGAGAGGGGAATCAGGGAAATATCCTGCTGGTCTTCCCTGTGCCCTCCAACAGAGGACTTACCTAAAGATTAATTTGCAACATGTAAATACTGACCTTCTAGTAACTGCACAGTGTGACAACACATGAGATACCAGTCAAGTAACAGTGAGCTTTAAATGATCTCTCCTCAAAACTCTGCATTTATTACAAAAAACACTCTTGCCTCAAAATGTCCAAGACAGCTTTTAGCTGGCTGAGGGACATGAGGCTGTGAGAGGCAGTACTCTGCCAGAATCCCATCTTCCGTGAGATCATTGTTTCACAAGATAGGAAAAAAAATGCATTGTCATCTTTCTTCCCCATTCTTTCCACACTTCAGCAATTAGTGTAAGCTTACAGGAATTGGTACGACTGCAGCTCAGATGGTCAGATATATGCGGAGAGCTCCTTTGACCATTACCCACCTGTAAATATTCTTTTAAACAGATAAACTTTAATGTCCATTGCAAATCAGGGGATGCAGGATTCAATTTTACTTGCTGCTGTTCTTCTCAAAGAAGTCCTATTTATCTTGAAAACCTGGACAATGGTGCCACGCTTCAAAAACAGTCTGAGCATCACCAACAGAGAAACAAATTCATACCAGCTGTAGGCCAGGTGAGAAGGGTTCAGGATCCCACCACCGAGACTACCCGCTGCTTTCCGAGCCCGTGCGCAAGGACTCCGCAGGGAGCCAGAGGTGTGTGCTTAGGAGGAAAATACGTGAGATGAGTCTGAGCAGCGCCGGGTTTCCCCACGCAGCTGACTCAGAGCTCGCTTTTCCTAACGGACAGGCATGACAGGGGCCCCCAAATCTCCCGTCCTGCGGGTAAGGGACTCCAATACTTCTGGGAAACAAGCGCTGCACGGCCCGGGGCTGGGGGGAAACCCAGAGCACAGCAGCCGCGCGCCTCCTCTGTCCGTGCGGGCCACACTGCCCCTGCGAGCCGTCCCCTCACAGCCCCCGGGGCCGGCTGCCTCGCTGCCCCCTCTCACACCGCCGGCATCTCCCCGGGCCCCCTCCGCCTCTCACAACGCCCCGGGAG